GTAAAAAAAAAAAAAATTAACAGAGTCGCATAATTTCACATTTTTGGGCTCAGTTTGCATAATTTCATTTTTTTTTTGGGGGGGGGGATAAAACCGCGGGGACAGTTATAAGACCCCATAGAGAGTGGAGACCTTAGATGTACGCAGTAGGTTAAGTAATATAAGCTCCAAAAGGAGTCTCAAAATAACTTTTATTAACTCTTACGAAGAAAGTGGCAAATGAAAAGCAGCGGCATGAAGACAGAAAGAACCTTGTATTGGTCGCCCAAGCTGGCATATCGAAGAGTAACCATTATTTCACTATGTCTTTTTAGTTTTAGTAGAGGTTTTACGGCGCTCGCAACTGCATAAGGTCATATAATCGCCATTCACTATGTCTGTTGTTTGATTGCTTGGTTGTTTTTCCTTTTTGATTATTGTTGTTGTTGTTTTTTTTTAATTGCTTGGTTTTGTTTGGGTTTTTTTATTTTGTTCTCTTTTTGGTTGTTTTTTTTTACAATTATGGAATGACAATTATGGTATACTGAGCAATGACGAGAAGAGCGAAGCTAAAAGCTTGGGCCTCTCAGCATCTCTTGATCTCAGTGCTTTCTTGTCGTATCTCCATTTTTTTTAAACAGTGAAAAAGTGACTTCTTCTTAAGCTCACTCTTTGTTACGAACTGTTTGCACTGTTGTTATTTAAAATAAAGGTACGACAAGAAAGAAATGAGGTCGCGATCTGTGGTGTCTCTCACGATATGCCACTACTCCGTCACACACTCAGGCGACAAGACTGTTCCCGCGGTTTTATGCAAAACGTTTTCTGAAATTATGCCAACTGAGCCCAAAAATGAGAAATTGTGCGATTCGGTTAATTTTAACAAAGAATTATATAGGAATATAGTCAGAAATTGTGCAAAAAATGATCGAATTTTGCTGAATTATGCGGGGTGCATAAAACCCCAGAGACAGATTAGACTAAACTCGCCGTTACCTGATCAGTGGTATCACGCTGTGCTACAGTTACATCCGAAGGAAGATGGTGTTATAAGATCAGATATATTATCCTTTATTGTCCAGATCCTGGCACATTGGTTAGTTGTTTCACAGTGTACACACATACACACTAAACCCACACACACACACACACACACACACACACACACACACACACACACTTCCCTCACACATCCTCTGTTCCACACACATCAGTGCTCATAACCAAAATAATACAATGTATAATAGGATGCTTTCACTCACAAACAGGCTCACAGTCACATGCGTAATATATAAAAGAACAGTAATATAAAAATCAATAGCGTTAAGCTAGAGATACGTACTCAGTGCTCTTATTGTCGGTGGCCTAGTGGTTAGGCTCTCGGACTCGCAACCGTAAGGTCGTGGGTTCGAATCCTGTCAGGGACCCGACGTTGTGTCCTTGGGAAGGGCACTTTACACGAGTTTTCCTCACTTCACCAAGGTGGGAATGGGTACCCAGCTATAGACAGCGAAAGATCTTGTCAGTTTGTTAGTGTTTGAGCGCTTAATCAGCTGCTTGCACTGTATGCTTCCCGGGAAGCTGAGAATGTTTCTGAGTGTTCTATGGTCTG